CCCAGCATATACTCCACCTATACGACGAGACCGCAAAGTCGAGTCCTTCGCCCAGAGATTTTCGCACCAACGTCATCAACCAGTTGTTCAATAAGTCTGACAGTGGAGTCTTCTCGATGAACACTGGCGCCAAGCTCTTCACGGAGGCGTATACAAAGTCTACCAACAGAAGTACGCCAGGGACGAACAAGAGGCGATGTCCCGCTCGGTCATTCTTGGCCTCTTTTTTCAAAACAACATCCAGGCCAGTGAGAGAGAGTGAGAGAGAAAAAAAAAGAGGTAGAGAAAAGAAAGACTATAGAATAAAGACACACAAGGTTTCCTCTCACAAGGTTTCCTCTCACAAGGTTGTTTCACTCAAAGGTTTGTATGAATGAATGAATGATTGAATGAGCGAATGAATGAGTGAACGACTGACTGACTGAGTGAATGAATGGATGAATGAGCGGACGCAGTGAACTCTCAAGGTTTCCTCTCTCAAGGAGGTTTCACTCAAAGGTTTGTACCAATGCACCGATGTGTGAATGCATAAATGAATGGTTGCTCGAATGAGTGCATGAATGAGACTAATAAGTGGATGACAGCATGAATGGATGTTTGCACATGGGCTCACAAAAGTTGCGCAAACATGGAGCTCACAAAGCTTTCAATTTCCGAACATATCGCTTCGAAGTTTCACCGGGGGCACTTCGAAGTTTGTTCGAAGTTTGTTCGAAGTTTCCATATCTAAATTTACAGAAAATAGTTAAATTTACAGGAAATAGTTAAATTTGTTTTAGCTAAATTTACAGAAAATAGTTAAATTTACAGAAAATAGTTAAATCATATTTTAGCTAAAGTTTTATATAATAGTTAAAAGTTATATTTAACTATTTTCTAAAATTTTAACTAAAACATAACTTAACTATTTTCTAGGAATTCTACGTTTTAGTTAAAATTTTAGGAATTATCTAAAAAGTTTTTTAAACTAAGCCGGTCTATTGGGTGAGACACACTCCAATGGCTTCCAGCCATCGTCGTCTCTATGGATTTCACTCTCTGTAACAGGCAGTCCACCGTGAAGGAGATAGTCCACCGAGCTGCAAAGCGTCAGTAGCTCCCGAGCTACCGGCCCTGTCGACTTCCTCTGAAGCTCCTGCCGAAAGTACTGGACTGCTGTAGGCGTCACCAATGAGCTTGTTCCTCGAAGCCTGCTGTCTGGAGGAGAACTCTCCTCATATCGGCCAGGGACCTCGCCCGACAGCACCAATGCAGCTGTCCGCCACCCGTTGGATCTTCGTGGCTCCCTCGAAGAAACCCTCCTCCTGGGCGAAGTCGATCTCCTGGTCGTGGTCTGACGTGGAACTCCGGCACTGCTCTCTCTCCTCTGTCTTGCTTCTTTCGTCGAACCAAACGCTTGGCGCGCCTGGCCACGCGGCGTCTGGTCTTCTCTCGAATGTCCAGGCCCGTGCCCGCAAAGAGTGCTTGCAGCCCCTTGGACGAAGCTGCCCGCGGCATAGTCACATCGGTCTGGATCTCTGGGCTCGAACTTGATGAGCTGACCTTCATCTTCTTTTTGCCGCCCGGACTGAGGCCCCTCACCTTGTCACTCTTTCTCCGCTTCCTGCTGCGCCCTCTTCTCCTGGAGCGACTCTTGTCTTTTTCTTTGGCCTCTTTGAGCTCGTCCCTTTTCTCTCGCAAGTCCTTCAAGTCGTCCACTGCTGGCCTCTCGACAGCCACTAGGTTCCTGCACCAATGTTCTTCCTCCTCGTGGCCTTTCGCAAGTCTCACCTTCTTGACGTGGATGAGGTCTTCTGCCACTCGGTCCCCGGAACACATAGGGCCCCATAGATGCCCGCGAAGATGTTCTCCTGAAACCCCTGTACAATGCTTGAGAAGCGACTCCAAGTCGGTCCCCGTTGCTTGCAGGATGACGTGAGTGGCCTCCTTCTCGACCTCGAGCCCCCGGATGACTCCTGCTACTCGGCACGCAGCCCCGAAGTAGGACCCTTCGTCGATGACCATTTCCACGCCCTTGGCTAGTTCGGCCACGGGAACATCTGCTCCCTGAACCGTCAGGCCGCGAGCCCAAAGCTCCCGTGGGAGGAGCTGCATCGCCTGGATGATGGCCTGCTGGTCGCCGTAGAGCTCCTCCGCGCATTGGTCTCACCCTCATAGCCAACCTGGCTTTGGCCTTGGCGTGTGCCTTGGCCTTGGCCGCTGCTTTTCCTTTTGCCTTGGGTGGCATTGTTTCCTCGATCTCTCCCGGTGACGATATCGGTCTCGTTGCTCACGATGTCGCCCACGGTGTGGTGGTGGGTGATCTGGACTCCTCGGCCGCCTGGGGGCCGGTGGAGGTGGTGGCAATTCGTGATGCCTGGAATGCGGTGACCCTGTCCCTTTTGGGGCGGGCCTCAACTCAAACTTCCTTGGGTTCTCTTGCACCTGCTCGTCCTTCTCCTCCTTTGTTGTCGTAAGGTCCTCAACTACACCACCAGTGCTCCCAGCACCGGCCTCAGCCTCGTCTTCTGCCTGAGCCTTCTTCCTCTTGCGCTTCTCCTTCTTGGTCGACGGTCCACTCTTATGCTTCCTCTTCCGCTTCTTCTTTGTCTCTGTCACTTCACCTTCTGCCTCTTTCTCTGACAAAGGGATGGCCTGAACGGTCTCAACCGGCTCTTTCTCCTCTGTGTGCTCCTCCTTGGTGCGCTCCTTGAAGTTCCCAGGCGGTGCTTCCAGCACCGGTTCTGATGCCGCTGCAGGAGCTGACCCTGAAGCTCCCGTCCCTGGAGTGCCCTCGCCCTCGAAGCCTGGTGGATTGGACTCCGCCTTCTCCTTCTTCAAGATGGGGACGGCCAGCTCACTCAGGTCCTCTATAGCCCCGCAGGCTGATCTCAGGATTTGGATAATCCCCTCCTCCTGACTTCTCAAGAAGCAGCCAGCCCTGAACAGGTTCTGTATGTGGCACAGGGTCCTGCACGAGGGACAGGTAGTAGGGCGAGCGCTCCAGAAGTGGCAACCAGTGCAACGACAAAAACTGGCTGAGAACCGAAACGCTATGGGACAAAACAAACACGTGCATCTTAACCACCGGGGGCGTTAGTACATATATATATATATATTATATATATTATATTGTATGTATATATATTATATATATTATATATTATATATACGTATTATATATACAAGCTCTGGACTTACCTTCCAAGATCAACTACGTGTCCACACAAGAATTGTGAATTGTCGCACTTCAGAGTGTGGAATAAGTTCTCAGGCATGCGGCATACTACCAACAAAATGCAACTCAACGGCTCAATGCCAAGTCGTGCTCTCAGACCTTGCGGTGAGGTGTTCAATTCTCATTGCTTCGCTCGAATACTCCAATTCTTGTCATCATGCAAGCAACTTGAGGTTGGCAACATCCAGTGGTCGTCTATCAACTCACAAGTGACATCCGCGCAGGCAAATGCTTTACCAAATGCTGCACTCTCAGACCTTGCGGTTGGGTATTTTCCTCTCACCGCATTGAGGCTCGAATACTCCAATTCTGATCATCATGCGAGTGTCAAGCACGTTAAATCCAAAATGCTAGAGACCAAGGAGTCTGGGAACAACATGAAACAAGTTCTTTTCATATCGCTTGAGTCCTGGGGAGCAAGTAGGCGGCTAGTACGGCTAGTAAAGTAGCTAACAAGTAGCTAGTTACTAGTTCGCTCCTAGAGTTGGGTCCCAGAAGGGCGAAGCTTCCTTGTGGAAGAGTGTGTTTCAAATCATTGAATGCATCTTAACACTCTGTTGGTGCTGTCATGTTGAGAATCACCTGAGTGCTATCCAACAAACTTGGCCTCCACACGGCCCCAGGGAGCCCAAATGAAAGGAGTCCGAGTCAAGCCAAAGTCCAGGCTCACTAAGCCTAGAGAGCGAACACGAAGTGACACGCCAGGCCCCGTGCAAATAGCGTTCAATTCATGCCCTGAATCTGAGACCCCAACAGCGACAAGTAGCGAAGGCGCTGAAGACAGCGGGGAATCTTCCATTCAAATGATATTCCCTGTCAATGCACATGATTCAAACCAATCGGTACAAGACAGCGTGAACACCACAATGCACAGGTCCAGAACCAATACCGCTGATTGTCTCAAGTCATCTTTGCCCGCCACCTTCCCCTTGGTCCTTTCGAACGCATCAGTCAACTTCTGGTTCTCCTTTTGCAAGGATCTCAGCCTGACTCCACTGGATACACATTCTTTATATACTGCTCCTGTGAGTTCAACTAGGACTAGGAACTAGATCCCGGCGACCCCAATTCTATCTGCGACAGAAGTGAGCTTTCTGTTCCAGTCAGCTCCAAAAATCGCAAGTGAAAACATGTGAAAACCCCATTCTATGGCAGCTGGCATTTCAGCACTGCTTCCTGAGGAGCTTTGCAACTCCTGCCCAATTGAAGGTGCAGCACTGCAAAAACTCCATGGCAACTTGCTGTTCCACATCAAATAACAGTCCCCAAACACACCTGTGAAGCCTTCTGGCATGACCCAGCATGGCTAGTTGGATGCATGACAAATGGACTCCTGACATGGCCTGACACAAGTTCAAGTCTCAAACCCAAACTGGATAGAACTCTCTCTCTCTCTCTCTCACTGTCTCTTCTTCCACTGCTCCTGCAGCTCTGTTTGAAGCTCTCTTTGGAGCTCAGTTTGTCTTTGCAGCTTCTCTGCCAGACTTGCTTTGGCCTCTCGACAGCTTCAATCGTTCTATCATCCATGCATCTTAATGAACATGACTCATGGCGATGTCTTCACGACGTCCATTTTCACCGTTTTTTCCAAAGCACGGACAGCCACTTCGCAGCGGTGCCAAGCTCTATCAGGCAATTCATATTTCGGCACAGCTCTCTCGGAGGCTCGGACTGGATGCGTTGTTTCAGGTCATAAATAAAGCAACCAATTCGGACAAAAGCTTGAGATGGAACAACTGAATCGTTTCACCTATCATATCTAATCATATCTATATAGACATTGGTCGCTGCCTTGTTCAACGTCTGCAGAGAGGTTGCCTGGACTCCTCTCTCAACAAGACTCTCCAGCTTACACTCCTCCAACCACTGTCACCATCCCCGAATTGCCTGCACCTGCCTTTGCCAAGCTACTTCAATCTCCATCTGGCACGAATTCGTTGCGCCAGTATCCTTCGATGCTTCCTAAGTTCTTGGGGTCAAGAGAATGAAGCCTAGGCCTGGCAGCTAGAAAATCTAAGTTTTCGCCTGTCACGAAGGCTTTGAAGGTCGAACTCATCAATGTACAACGGACCTACATCCCGGTTCTTGTGGCTGATCTCGGTGGAGATGTTGTTCAGCCACCTGATACTCTCAGGGGGGTGAACCAGGTTGACCGCGCGTGGTGGAGGTTCTGTTCATTAACACGCTAGATAACTACTTTTGCGAGTGCAAACAGTGGATATGGGCAAACGGTTTCAACCACAAGCCTGTTGAAGCTCTCTTGCGCCAATCCCACGACAATCTGCGGAGGGATCGGGTAGGTCAGAAGCTCCGCGGGTATCTCAAAAGCTCCTGGGGCAGCGTGTGGTGGCTTTGGCTGCAGATTCGGAGGCCGGGCCCTCATAGGTTCTTCCACCTGAGCAATGAAACAACACCCAATCTTGTAGTAGACTGTTCATTTCTTGCCCAATTGAGACGCAAATATGCTGTTGAAGTAGTGCATGGTCTTCCTAGTTAGGCTCAAAACAACTTTCACTTTGTTTGATCCAGCAAGAACATGAAAGGTGCCTGGGGAATCTCCCTTGGAGCCGGATTATCAAGACCATCCAACTGACAGTTGACATAGGCTGGCAATCCACATGCAAGCCGTTCTGCTCTTCTTCGAGGGGGAGTCTTCAGAACGTCCTTGCAAATGTCAGGGCGTTCTGAGATTTCGCCACCAGCCATGAAGGTAAAGCGCACAGGCTTCCTGGAAGCCCCTTCTACAAAATATGGTCGAATTGTCCATGTGCAGAAGACATGTGTTCCTAAATGGATCTATGAGTTGGGACATGTTGGGATTCTTTCACATAGCACGCTGTTGCAGGTGCAACAGCCAAGTCACCTGTGTTTTAGCTGAGCTGAAGCCAACTTTGCAAAAAGCAAGCAAGAAAGAGGTTACAAGTCGCTTCTTGCTACTAGTAGCGATGCACGTTACTAATAGCGATGCCCTTGTTACGAGTAGCAAGAGCTTTTCAAAAGCGCGATCGTCCCTGTCTGAAGCGCTCCAAACTTCGTGCTCCATTGAGCGACAGAAAGATCTCAACGGGTCAAGGCCACAAGGCCCACAGGCGGGATCTGCGTTGAGTTTAGATCTGAGCTTTTTTTTGCGGGGGCGGACTTACTTCAGATTCAAGTGTCAACCCCAAAGGCGTCTGCACTACCACCGCAAAATCACGCCAACATCAGGACGACTTGTTGCAAACAGTGAGACCCCAGCGGCACCTATGGATCATATTGCACCTGGCCTGGCTAACAGCTTCGCTGACAGCTCCTTTGAACCTGTGCACGTCTCAGAGCAAACACAAAACACCATGGAGAAATACTTTGTGTATGCGCAACTTTTTGAGTGGATAGGCCACAGAAGGAGGCAAGCAAGCTTAGTAGGAAAAGAAGCTAGCAGCTAGTACATGCAAGAATACAAAGAAGGTCGGAAGAGCGAAATTCATGTACTGCTTGTTTTGTGAAGTTTGGATCTCCATACCATGCAAGTGAAAAGAAACTATCCCCTGCTCGAGGACCCGAGGACACCACTCTTTGCGCAGTTCCGTTCGTAGTTTTTCGTCTGCACCTTAGAATGTCAGCACTGAAAAAAAATGAAAAAAGGGTAGCACATGTCCTGCAGACCTCGCACCTCCATAACAGCCGACACAACTAAACAAACAAGTCGACGAGGGGGATGCTCATCTACAAAGCTTTGGCCGCTTGAGAAAGCATCAAACTCACTACTGTCCATGCTGCAAACTGTTTGGACCGGTGGTCGGGACCCTCTTACTTGTCGGGGTTAGGACTCAGCATTCACTGAGAAGAGGAATGTGGATTGCGGACACTGAACTTGAACAGTGCAATTGCACTGCAGGCTGCCACGCGTCTGATATAAATCAAACTCTGCGGAAGATCTTACTAATTACTGTCACGGTTACTACGTAGATCGATCAGGCCCCTTTCAGTGGCGTGGTAGACAATTCAACGATAGCTCACCAGTGTCAAGTAAAGCTCGGGCTACGACCTTGAAGATCCTTGGCCTCAGGTATTCTGAATTGAAGACTAGTGTGCTCTGTCCAGAATGGGTTTAACACTGCGTCCCCATTTCACGTCCTTGAAAGCTCATTGATCTGCAAAGTCCGGGCAACGACTGAGGAATCAGCCGTGGACACTCTAAGCTTGTCAACTTGTGCAATGGAGAATGCCTGTCCAGGCTGGAAGAAAAGACTAAAATTCTAAAAAGTACAACTTTGCGCACCAATCTTGAATGAGCCGATATGTGGCAATCTGCCTCGATCTGCTTGATCTGCCTCGCAGCAACTTTTTGGGCATCCTCCATCTCGCGCATCTGGGCATTTATGTTGGTGGCTGCCTGCCAAACGAAAACTACAATACTGTATTTAAATCAACAAGCTGGACAAGGCAGGCCAGGATGATTTCTTTGAAGCACCTCCTTCATCCCGGCATCTAGCTCTTCAGCATGTCTTGTAACGGCCTGGCCAAAAGATGCAAAAAGACATTTCTTGACGACTAGATAATCAGCGTGATTGTTTTACATGCAGCAGCATTTCTCAGCGGTTCTTGACTCTTTTCTCTGCGATCGGCCGCCATCCGGAGAGGGCATGGAAGTGGAAGATGTGGGCTCCAAGCAGTATTGATGATTCTGTACAGTCAATACTCTTGACCATTGAATAACATGAAACGACTTCCACTGGCATAACCTCTGGCTGTTGCTCAGCCTTCATGCCCATACAACCCTTCCTCAGTTTGTTGATTTCACGTTGTTCTGGGTTGTGGGCAGCAGGCCTTAGATGTTCAACTTGCAGGCAGGTGATTCAAGCAATCAACTTAGATGGCTAGACCAACTGGACCCAAAAACCGTCCATGATTCAACGAACAATGTCAAACCACAAAATGACAAGGCCAAAGCATTCAAAGCCCAAGAACAAACGGACTCCGTCTTAGGCAAAGCAAGAATATCCTCTTTGGTGAGAAAAACAATGAAACGGTCCTTTTTCGTTCATTGTTTTGTGTTGTGTTTCCTCTTCGTTTTTTCAATGAAAGGAAGAATGTCCTCTGGGGCGAGAAACATACTGTGTCTTTGTGGAGGAGCGCTTGTTCGCAGGAGACGCCGGCGATGCTCTTTCAGCAACGTCTGTCACACAGATTGGTCGCCTTTGAGTGGGCGCTTTGAGAGCAGGACCACATGAGAGTCACACCAACCAGAACCAAGTGCTTCCAAACATCACTTCTGAGTCTTCGGAGCCAGTCACTTTGCATCACATTGGCATGCACTGGATGTCCAAGGTTTGCATCTCACGTCCACGAAGCTAAAGCAGGGTACTTCCTCCTTGCAAGGACTCGTAGAAACATCCAGGAAGGACACGTCCAGTTGACACCGAAAACTGTATGCCAAGATGCCTTGGCCACAGTGTCATAGCAGGTCAAAGGATTCATTGTTCCTGAAGCTTGCACATGGACAGCAGCTTGAACTCCAAGCTGCAAAAAAGAAAGCAAGGCTACTCACTCAAACAAAAATCACAGTTCATGCAGCCCAGAGCGCGTAGGGTTCTATGTCTTTTGTTCGGGTGAAGCAAAACTTGCAAAGCATGGCTCGTTTTGCGTAAACGTGCCATCGGCAAGCTACATTCAGAAAGCAGGTGCAAGTTTGCCAATTCGTTAAGATTGCTAACTGCAATAAAATGACATACAGTAATAAATGGAATGGCATCCTGAATCCTGGCTTCTCTTGACCCAAGGCCCAAGTTCCGGCAGCCTGTGTTTGCCAATGGCTGTGGTCTCGTCGGATCAGGTGGTGCAGGTGGCCTTCTCCACCTGTCGCCTACATCGATTCAACCCCCTGTGGACAGGGAAAGGAAAAACCGACTTTGGGGCCCCTAGTAGCAATGGCCTCCAACCTGCTAGCGATGGCCTCCAACCCAATAGCAACGGCCTCCATCCAACCCAATAGTGATGGCCTCCAACCTAGTAACGATGGCCTCCAAGGAAAAAACGACTTTGGGGCCCCTATATAAGGGTCGCTTGACAGGCATGTTTGTACCTATATAAAGCCCCGTTCAGATAATATGGATCCAAATCAAGTTTGCATCATGCCAGTACCCTTTTGTTTGTTCGCTGTCAAACATCAATACAGTTGTTGTTTACAGTCGTTCGCGGCCTTGGCTAGAGCCATCTGAAAGCACTTCTGCAACTGCTGTTCCTGAGCAAGTTAGGAAGAAACACTTTCTGAATTGAATCCATTTTTGAGTCAGTCTTGTAGAAAACAACATCCTTTTCAAAACCGTTGAGGCAAGGCACGAGAGTGCGAGGCCTGGCCGCGGCATGCTCCGAAAAATACCGTAGGCAGCCCCAAAACCGCCCAGGAAGCCAGAGAGTACGAAGTCCGGGTGTTACGGTGTTAAATCTAAAAATGAAACATACCCATGCTGAAACCATATCAGAACATATCAAAACTATTTTGACCAATACTATTCTGTCGTGCTTGAAAACATAGCTACTTTTTCGGCCTCATCCCGCGACAATCTACTAGCATGTCAACTGGGATGTCTACATTGAGTGGAAACATAGAATAACTTTTTATAAATCACATGCAAAGCATGTTTTGTCACTCAAGTCTTCGGTCTGGCTTGTGACTTGACTCACTCGTGGCTTGACTTGGCTCTCGCTTGCGCCATCGAACATACACACCTCCTTTTCAGAAAGAAGCAGCCAGTAGCAAACACCCACTGCAGGGGAAAGGCTCGAAAAGAATAACATCTCAAGATTGCAAAGAGCATTCAGTGTAGGTAGATGATTGTATAATATTGTATATCTAATTGCACTTTTCTGAGATAGTCAGGAGAGAGGCTACTATTCTATTCAACAGGTATATAGAGCCTCCCTGGCAGACGTGCAATATAAACTGTCATGTGTATACGCTACCGAGCAACCTGAAGTTTGTCATATGGATATAGCATAGTATTGTATTGTATTGTCCATCAATGTTCTTGATGTGTGTTCAACTCCAAGGCAAGATGGCCGCCTGGGCATCCAAACCCAGCGCAGGGACTATGAGAAATGACCTGAAAGGTTGTGACTGTTTGTTGTTTTGACAGCTCAACCAGAAATGTGATGTTCAGTACTGCAGCCAAGAAGCAGGAGCCGAACATCCTTACATGGCAAACGAAAAGGACAATATCAGTGGCATGACATTCATCAGATAGTTAAACCCTTGATAAGTCAAACAATGTCAAAAGAAATCATGACATGTCTTGCATGAAAGCATGTTTAACACTAAGGTCAACAGCTTGCACACAAATCCGACACGATGCTCTATGCAACTTAATGTCCATAACAACAGGAATCGCAGAGAGGAATCTCTGCTGGCCTTGTATCATTCCAAAGCAAAGAATTGACAGTCACGGAAGGTTGCTTGGTTTACAGCCAAGTCAAAACCCAAATCTATTCTATTCAAACAAATCAGATCTGCCTGTTGGGAGGCCTCGAGAAAGCAGATCTGGTCTGCCGCTTTGAGCCAGAGGAGCAACCAAGTGAAGGCGTCCAACTGAAGCGCAAATTTGCGCAAATGTCTTTGCATGTAAAAAAAACACCACCTAATAGCAAAGCGATGGCCTCCAAGATTGTTTCAAAATCTGTGCAATTCAAGCCAGAAGCAAGATCAGCAAGAACATGCCGGCATTGCTTCCACAAGAGACTCAGCCTCCTGTAGCCCAAATAAGCGCAAAGCAGATGCAAGAAATGTAAGCAATGCATTCTTGGTGAAAGCTATTCGTCCAAGGTGTTGTCTGCTTGGACTAGAAAGTCCTGAATTTCTCTTCTGATGCGGAAGCCATCTTCCTGTATAAGGATCAGATTTGACTTGTTCAGCTTCCTCGTCCACTGAAAATGAACATGAACCCAAATGCCAACAACATATTAAACTTTTGCCCTGCCTGTTGCTTTGTCACCTGCTCTTGCAGGGCACCCAGGCCTTCCTGCACCAATGTAAGTTCATTCAGCTGCATGTCTTTTGGAATCTGCCAAACTGCGGAAATCTTCTTGGCCTCTATTCGCTTCCCCTCCGCGGCAATCGCTGTGCGATGAACCTGGCCTCAGATCGTTTGGGCTTTGAACGGGTTGAACAAATTGCTCTTCAGTCCATTGGGTAGATTGAAACGGCAATCTCTTTAGTGCAAAGAGAACCACAAATCAGTTGCTGTGTTGGGGCAGCGGCTGGACGCAGAAAGCTCTGACCTGTGGAGCTTGAGACTACCCGAGTCTGTCGAGTGTATGGGTCAAGTGCCTTAGCCCCTCGATCGCGGGCTCCAGTGGCTCCAATCTGAGCGGCTGCAGTGATTATTTATATAACATATATTACATATACAACAATTATATATATATATAGTTATATATCTATATATCACATATTGATGTGATTCATCAAACGACATCATGATATATGATTTCCATCAGTCTCTGTACCGTACCTTTCAATAATGCGTCGCAATTGGAAAAAACAAGGTGCTAACGATCAATTGTCTTTATGTGTCAAACAAACAAAATCTGTAATTCTTTGGTACCGTAGCTATTGGAGCAGGTGGAGCGGAGCCTCGCGGTGACCTGCTCCACGAAAGGCTCCAAGGCTCGCAGTCCCCGAGCAACAGCACCACCACGAGTCTGCCGAGCGTCGAGCCGCTCAAAGGGATCCAAAGAGGTTCCTAGTCTTTAGGGATAATAGCTGCACCTCCACCTCTTGCAAGCGACTGTCCAAGGAAGAGAATGCCTTTTCAGGAGCTGATTGCATTTTTGCCAGGGAACCATGCACATACATTATTGACACAAGTAGCTGCACCTCTTTGAACTCACTTTGGCACGCTGAAAGCTGTGCTAATGCCTCGTCTCTGTGGGCCAGTCAAGCTCTGCTAAGGTGTGAGTTCAATCGTCTTGAAAATGGCTCCTTGGTAGCATCCTTATTCCTAGTAGTAAGGCCAGGAGCTACCAGTAGCTTCTTGTGACTGCTCACACTTGTAGAATTTCAGGATTGCTGGCAGTTGTGTCTGTTGAATCAGAGCTTCCAAAAACCCATCTCTATGCTCAGTCTGAGTCTAAGGCATCCAGGCTTTGGGCATTCAAGTCTTCCTTGATCTGGCTCTGCCCTTCTTTCAGGTCCCTCAACTCCTAGCAGGAAAGAGACCTTGATCTTCCATCAGGGCCATAAGCTTCCGTCCTGGAACTTTACCTCCCAGTTGTCAATGCGCGAGGAAAGCGCCTAGCTCAGAGCAATGTCAATGTTGAGTTCCAGAGCTGCAATCGAATTCCAAACAAGTCAAAAGTCTCATGAACCGAATGAGTGAACCTCGTACTTCTTCAGTCCCGCCTCCAAGTGTGTCGCATTTCGGAGCCCTTGGGCGGAGTCCTCATACAAATGTGGGAATGGAAACACAAACAAAAACGTTCAATGCATTTATATAAATGGTTTTAAATACATTTACAAATACGTGCTAATCAAATCTTCAGCACAAAACCAAACAAAACCAAGGCTGTTTTGATGAGGAAGTTCAGGGCTACGACCTAGGAAGAGTTTGACCAAAGGAACTGCGTGCGTAACGTGGGAGCGCACTCATGACACGCAGGAGCGACAGGGTATGTGTTAAGGATTGCAGGTGGAAGACGGTCTCGGGTCGGTTGCAAGGCAAGTCGGGTCGCGCTCTCCCCTGCACGCTGGTCATCGGTGCTTCGCTGATCGATTGGACGGCGGCATGGGAGGGTTCAAAAATTATGACTGGCAGGGCTTCACAACTTCACCGCTTCACTACTATCGATGGCCTCCAACCTACTATCGATGGCCTCCATGCAACCTACTAGC